CTAGAGAACCTACTCTTAAGCGAAATAAATGAGACCCACATGTGCAAACACTATATTGTCTCCTTAGTGTGAGAACTTGAAAGAGAAAAAAGGAGTCTGAAAGGTACAATAGACACTGGTAAAAGGGAACGAACTTATTCACAAGGAAAGAGTTACTGAGTTGAAGAAAAGGAAAGGAGAGGGAGTGGGGGAAAGAGATTTATCTATGTATGTAAGCAGGATTGTTTGGACAATTGTACTGTGCATTTCTGGTCTACAGAAAGCAGTTAATGCTTTGTTTCATCTCCTTTTTTCAACTGTTTCTTCTTTTTGTCTTAATTTCTTTTTCTTCTTTCAATTTTATATGCATATATCTGCTATTATGAATAACTGGAAGACAACAACATGTATTACAACAAATACTGTGAAATTCATATTACTTTAAGTGAAAATCTGTATCACTTGCACTTTTTTAATTCTAATTTGTACTCTTTAAAAAATAAAAACAAAAAACCAAAAATAACTGTTGTACTGTGCTTAAGCTTTTAGACAAACAGCGATGCAAATGATACGCAGTAAACAATTTACAAATAAATGGTCTTACAGTCGAATCTACCAACTCTTTTCTCAGTAATATTAATTGATATAACTGTTAAAACTACTTTTCAGGGGCGGGGAGATAGTTGAGTAGAATAAGCACTTGCCTGGCAAGCGCAAGAGCCTGAGTTCAATCCCTGGTTCTGAAAAAAAAAAAAAAAAAAAAAAAAAAGACTCCTTTTCACCTTCATTCAAATTATCCTCATAAAGCTGAAATGGTTAATATGAAACTATGGACTGCTGCTTCTGCACACCAACAGCACACCATCACACACGTGTTAGTACAGGCAGCTCACGCGGCACATTCTGTATAAATGCACTGAGGGTCATGAAAAGAGGCAGCATGTTGAGTTCTGCATGTGTGACCGAAGTGGTTTTTTTGGCACATGGACTACATGAGCAGTTTTCACACTGATCTGTGCATGAGCTTCTGATTAACCCAGGAGCAAATATTGTTGTCTGTTCTACACATTGAGCTTCTGATTGCTATCTTTAAAAACAAAGGGTCCCACAGCAGGAAGAGGGAAAAAACAGCCCTGCAACACGACTGACTCGATATCTAAACAGATGAAACATTACAGCAACCACCCATTTTCTTGTTAATACAATTCACGCACTTGCTTGCCTGGTACAGAGTCAGGAGGAAGCAACACTGGGCTTTGGCTTTGTTTTAAATTACATTTTAGCCACACAAGAATGTAATCCGAGGTCATCGTTCACATTTTCTGAACAGAGCAGAGAAACTTAGGAGATGCAGTCATTGAAGGAACTTATCAGTACTTCAGTGAAGTGTACAGTCATGACAGGGACATGTCTGGTTTTGCAAAGGTATGGCACCATCCACATCCAGGACCCTCTAAACTTGCTTTTACCGGGTTTTTGTCTCTAGCAGTCTCTTCTAAAGTAGGATTTAATGTGCCTCGAGATCACTAGACCAGATGAGGTTTCAGACATTATAAAGCACTCCAAGATTGTTATCACAGATTATACTACTCTTTGTTGCCAGGGACCATGGTTTGATCCTCAAGGAACTGTTACCACTGTTACCTCTTTCCTCCAAAGGAAATACTAGATTTGAATAAACCATGATACTGTGACTGACAGTACTTGATATCTACACAAACAAACAAAAATCCCCTATTGGGAGATAGCGCAGTAGAATGGGTCCCAAGTTCAATCCCCAGTATCGCAAAAAAGAAAAAAAACCCAAAAGCAAGCAAACAAACAAACAAACAAAACCTTATAAAATGCTTACTCTGAACAATTAGGAAAGAAAGACACCAAGCCATTTAAAGATAATTTATATACATTTATGGCTTTATACAATTATAGCAAAGATTGTTCTTGTACCTGTAAGTACATCAGCATCATCAGGCACTTCTCAGAGTATCGAAACAGAAACATGGAATCTGCACTGTTACTAAACTCGGTGGTAAAATGTGGGAGAGCGTGACTGTCCTGACGGGACTTACACGGCCCCAGCCACAGCGCCAGGCTGGTCCCCATCTCAAGGAGGGGCTATTATAAAGCCAGGCTGCACTGTTCGCATAAAACACACTGCACATTTTACTGATTATTCCCAAACTAAAACCACAAGAGAAATTTTTCATTTAAAATCAGTTATAAGTTAGGAATCCTTAAGAGCTCAAAAGTAAGAATTTTGAGTTTTGGGGAGGGATGGGGAGGACTGGTAATACAAACCCAGCAGCTGAGTAAGCCCAAATTACACAGTTTTGGATAACTATTTCCCCTTTAAGTGTCCTTCTCCTTCTCTGAGGATGTTCCATTGATTTACTGCTCACTGGGATACAACATTTGCTGATTAACCTAGAATTTGTCAGTTTGTCAAACGAGAACTTTACCAAGTAATGCATCTATTACCTAAATATATTCCATACATCTATATTATGGAAACAATACATCTTTATATTTAAAATATCTGAATAGTTCTATAATACAATATGCTTTAATAACAGTACAAACTGGAGGAAATAAATCAAACAAGGCTGCGTAGGTGATATCATATGCACATTTCACAAAGCAATCATGTACAATAATATACTAATTACTCCAGAAAGTCAGTATTCTTACAAAAAAAGAGCTCCCAGAGGCCACATGATGTTTGTGTTCAAAACAGATGCCTTTCCCTGGACTTCACTGCACCCCACAGGGCTACTTAGGATTCACATTTGGATTTCAACCCAAAGGAAAATGGGGTGGGGGGAAATTCAGATTCAAAAGTCACTTTAGAAGGAGTAAGATTTTTACTGTGGTTTTAGCAGTTGCTGGTTGCCTCTGTAAAAAGAAGCTCAGCAGCTCCTTTGGTAATAAAGATGCAACATTACCTATGGGAGAAATGTGGAAGAATGGACGTGGGTGAAAAGGGAGCACGAGTTCTGCCACACCATCGACTCTTAACATGTAGGTGACACTTGCTACAGGAAAACAGGTTTCTAAACTAAGTCATATTTTGGGCTGCCCAAAGATGGTCAGAGGGATTGATTACAAGTGTTTAAAATACTGAAAGTCATGGTAGAAGGCTTACCATGCAGCTGGCCTTTCAGGAATGCTTATATTCATATTACATACAAGGCAAAAACCCAAGAGGGAAGAAAGTAACAAACAAGAAAAAGAAGCAACTTGATTTGCACTGTGTGCAGAGAAACCAGTCATAAGTAGACAAGAGGCCCCCCGCTGTGCAGCCACTCCTCCTCTCCTGATGACCCTGGGCATTCTACTTGACTGAACCAGTAATGGAGTGAATGGGAGGCAAAGCCAATTAACCTGATCTGTCAGTTACAAGTAATTGCAAAGTATTAAAATACAATGGTGGCAGTATAGTGTAGGCTGTTAAAGGCTAAAGGAATACGCAAATTCTCAACCTAAAATAGGGCTTTTAAAGTCACTTTAAACCTGTAACTTAAAAGCTGGTTGGTTGTTTTTCAAATTAATTGCCCCTATTTTTAAACTAGTTTAAGTTCACTTGATAGACATATCTACTTAGGAACACAAATCATTCTAAAAATCATTCTAGTCCCATTTCTAAACTCCCCTCCTTCAATTTAAACTCTGAAAGACAAAAAAAAAAAAAAAAAAAAAGACTAACAGAGTGAGGAGTGACACGACTCCTCAAGCAGAGCTACAAACCTGACCCCAACCTGGACTGCAACAAGAGCAGAGATTTGAGGGAAATTTCTGTTAAAGCCCAACTCAAAATGGTTAGGTTACCCAAGAATGCCAGCTGGCCATTGAGAATCCTTTTAGATGTAGGTCTCCCTTCCTGATCTACAAACATTATGAGGCCTCCCAGGAACAACTGTAACAATGCAACGTTTAAGTATCTACCAGAGGAGACACTATACAGTGCACACAGTTCACAAGGTAACAGAAGCAGGTGAGATTCCTTTAAAATACATACATAAAAACATACTTAGTTCTTCTAAATACAAAATGTAAAGTGTCCATAACTATACATCACTTTCCTGCCCAAACAGTTCCAGAAACACTGAGTATGCAAGTACTAATTACAAAGGTTTAAGATTAGTCAGGAACACCACCAAATAGCATCTGAAATTGTACAAATCAGTTAAGCACATATAAAATTAGTACTAATCCAGTTAGAAATACAAAATGAAAATTTGGGGACAACATTTACAGTCCCCCAAATACCTGTGATTCCACAAATTTACAAGCAGACAAAGTAACAAAGTAGACTCTAGTTTTAAGAAAACATTACAGTTCAATATCTATTCCAAAAATGATCTCAAGTCCCAACAATGACATCAAAAATCATTTATCTGGAAATTAGAACCATTTTAAGTGTTTTTACAAATTTGCAAATAACAAAATTAAAAAAAAAAAATAGAAAAGACCTGTACAAGGCTGGCGCTTAATCTATTTTTTTCCCCAAAAAGTTTGACAAGTCCCTTATCTCAGTAGATTGGTAACAGGCTCCTTAGTTCTCTCATGAATCCTGTGGCATGTGAACAGTCCAAAGTCGCTCAGTGGAGGTGTATGAGATCTCAGTTTTTTGTGATTTATCACTTCAGCAGAACACAGGTAGTAAAAACAAATGTTTAACTTACCAAGACATGATCACAGTATTACAAAAAAAGAGTATAAACTTTCCTTGGACCAAATGAATATTTAAAAAAACAAAAACACACAAATACAGTTTTGTATCTACTGTTTATATACAAAAACCTGAAAGCATACCAGGATCTAAAAGTCTTTTCTGCAGTACATGGTGTAGTGAGTTTGGCACTTCATTGTAAAGACATTTCCAATGGCACAGTCCTTATCTACAGCAGCACATAACCTGCAACATTAGGCAAACATCCTGTACAGGAAAAGTAACTTTGCTGCCAACTCCAATGAAAGGAAGAAAGGAAGGATTTTTTTTTTTTTTTTTTTTTTTTTTTTTAAATCAAGAAAACCAAAAGGATGGGTGAAGGACATCTTTGGACTGCTTCTCTCAGTTCCTGCTGTCAGACAATCTGAATGACTTTGTAGCCTAGGGAAAAGAAACACACACAAACAATGAAAATGTAGTCAAATTAATTCAATTTAACAAATGAGGGCGACAGACATACTTGCAGGGAAAAGTTAGATCTTTCTCAAACAGCTCTAAAATCATTCAATAGCAAAAATTCTATTAAAAAGAAACTTCAGATTTGATTTGCATCAAACATTTATCAAGAGCTACTAAAAACATGCAGCCACCAACTATCAAAAGAAAATATTTAAAGCAGTAGCAGAAATCTTTGTTATGGTTAAATATGAAGGCGAAGTTGATAAGCTGCAAAAGGTGGGGGGCAGGGAATGAATAATAAAAGGCATTTCTCTTTTATTTTTTATTTATACTATTTTATTATTGCTGACCCAGCAACCAGGGGCAGCTGGTTGACATGGAAAAGGGGCTAACCATAGAAGACACAAAGCAAGTTACTGTGCTCTTCTCTCTTAAATTCTATTTTTCAAAAGGCCTTTTGATAATGGAGAGAACTTACCTGCTCACTCATTAGCCTGACACCCAGCTGTGTGTCGTTGTCTTGACACTATGTGAGAAGCTTTGGTTGGGCAACACATTGTCGAAGTTAAAATCCAAGGTATCTCCATCCATGAGGTCATTCCGAATGATGGACTCCATGTCACAGTCCAAACGCTCAATAAACATGCCATCCAAGTCACTTGGGAGCTTCTCCTGGTGGAGAATGCCCATCCTGCCATAACCATTGCAGCTGCTCACTGAGGAATAGCCCAGGGCACTCATCTGCATGGGATGGGAAAGAGGCACTTGTAAAGGTGTCTTCACTGGGGTCAGGCGGCTCATACCTGAGGTATGAGACATGGTGTTCACTGCATGGGACAGGGAGCGTCCATTAACTGCAGAAGTTTGCTGGGCATGTCCAGGGTGGGTATGGGAGTTGGGATTCATCATTTTGTTATGAGATGCCTGGCTGCCATAGGTTGGCATGACCGAACTAGGACCCATCATCACATTCTGGCCCAAGACCCGGCTGTTGGGTTGAGTTACCCCAGGATCAACTGGCGACATAATATCATTATGGGGAGGAGAGTCGGAAGTAAGTAACTCCTTTAAGAGTCCCGGGGCACAGTTATACTGATTTAATCCTCCATAACTAGATTTGTTGTCCTGAAGGGTTTGCATAGGCATCTGGGGCAAAGGGCTCAAACTGGATTGGCCATATGTGTATTTTTGGTAGTTTGGATTGGGGGAATTCAGACTGGTATTTGGCGGTGCAAAGGAGTAACATGTTGTCTGCTGCATCATGCTGCCAGGTGAAGACTGGGTTGAAACAGTTAATGGTGTTGGGGATGAGAGAAGGTTGAGATTATCCAAAAGGTTTTCCATGTTTTCAGGATTGCTTATTTCAGACAGACTGGGCAGAGTAGAAGCCATCTTTGCAGCAGACGGTGGATACACTAGAGAGTGCACATCCCCATCCCCCAGATCATCCTGTTCCGTCATGATGGGGGAAAGTCGCCCGCTGATAGTACTAGCATTTGAGCTAGTTCGAGGGCGAAATGTACTCCAGTTATCAAAGTCATCATTGCTGTGAGAGCCAGGGCTTGCAGGCCATTTGGAAAACTGTGATCCAGGACTGTCCCCAGCACCTTCCTGGCCAGACTGGAGGGATGACTTTTTCTTAGCAGCTCGGCCTCGACTCTTAGCAAATTTACTGTTGTTGTCCATGGACGCAGCTCTTCTCCTGGGGGATTTTCCACTCTTGCCCCCTTCTGGATTCAGCATCCACCAAGAACTTTTTCCAGTTCCTTCATTCTGCACACGAATGAATTTGCTGTGTAGGGACAGATTATGGCGAATTGAATTCTGTAAAGCAAAAAATGTCATGTTAGAAGTACAGTATTTTTCCACTTAGAAAGCTCACTATTTTACCTATATCATATGGAAGATAAGTAGCATTTTAAGAGTTCCTGGTAGACTGGGCGTGGTAGTGCATGCCTGTAATTCCAGCACTTGGGAAGCTGAAAGCAGGAGGATCACTATGAGTCCGATCTATGTAGTGAGACCCTGTAGGACTTGCACTAAATACATTTTTTTAAAAAAGAGTTCCTGGTACAAATTTCAATCAAAACACTCATCGGAGCTCCAGATCCACTACAAAATATCTAAAACTAATATATGAAAAAAGAGTACCATCCCTTAAAAATAGTATCTATTGCTAATTAAGTTAAATAAGTATGATTAGAAATACCTTTTATTTGGTTATGTTTTTATGGACAGATTACAGGATCAGTTTACTAACCAACTAAGTTTTGTTCAGCCACAATGCTATGCAATTAAGAATTTGTATCAAAAGTGCCATCAAAACCCTTTTCTATTCTATTACTCTTAAAACTCCCAATTGCTTACAGAGGAAACATGACATTTATACAAAGTGAGAGGTTTAATATCACTGGACCCACACGATTATGGGGGGGAAAGATGGAAATAGATCTTAATAAAGAATTAAAAACCTGAAAATTAGTAAGATCTAGATTTATACCTTAAAAATCCATTAGGCAAATACAAATAAGTAATATGAATTAAATGGTCATCTTTTTATTTGATCAGCTAAAAATTTTTTTTTTAATTCAAGTAGTATCCCTTTACCCAAATAACCAAAAGTATACCAACTCCATGACACTGAATCCAGGGTTACATTCTGACCAAGACAACTACAGAGGGAAGGTAGGAGTACAGAACACAATTCTATGGCATGCTTCTACACTCTTATTCACTGGGCTGTAGGTAGGAGTTGAGCAGTATTATACATAAAAATTTACAACTACAAACATGTGGGAAAGAGGGACCACAGTTGCTAAGGGTTCAGCCACAGACAAAGACACAATCACAAATGTGATTTTCCTGTTCACTACACAGCCTGACAGCTGACATCTGGTTGAGTATGTGGAATACCTCTGGAAAAGAAGTGGGGAAACAAGCACATGGGCATGAGGCAGAGTCACTAGCCATTCTGCAGTCTCCTCATGTCTGGGAGCAGGATTCTGGGTACCTCAGACTACTGGGGAAGGAGCTGTGTGCATGGCTCTCTGGCTTTCTTGACCTCCTCTGCCAACTGGGTGTAAGGCTCAGCTGACCAAGCACTGTTTCCCTGCAGCACCTCCTCTGGACCACAAAAAAACCTCTGGTTGAACTTGTGGTCACTTAGGGAGGCAGCCGCAATGCCCACATCCTCATGCTGTTGTCACAAGACAAAGATGCCCAAGTGCCAACCACTGTGTCAGAACATAATCTCCCACAGCATGTCAGGGTCAGAGCCCTCCAAACACTGAGTTCACAATTACTGAAAGGAGGTAGAAAATAGAAAAGGGGCATGGAGATTTCATTTCTAAAAGGAGACGAAAAAGTCAGAGGAGGCCCAACGAGAGCTGAGCAATCAACATTTCAAAATGCTTTCTGACCCTTTGTACTACATTCCGCCCAAAGATTACAACACAGCAAGCCCTTCTGCCAGGGCAGACAGTGAGTGCAGGTCAGATGTGGCCAAACAGAGTTTTCAGCAGGACACTGGGCAGGGCTGCAGGGACATGCAGGAATGGTCTCCTGCTTCTAAGATTTTCCTCTTCCTTCCCTCCTATGATCTGTACCCAACTCAAGACATGCTGTGAGGCATGGTCAATACATCCCTAAAGAGGCTAAGGAATGCATTTCTCTGATATCCTATTTCATTCCAAAGATTCCCAAAATCTCATGGGAAGGCACTACACATGTGCATGTACACACACACACACACACACTCACACAAAGCCATGGTCTTGTGTGCTGTGTCCACCAGCACAAGCAACCCAATATCTCCGCTCCTCCCAAAAAAAGTGGCAGCCTGTGTGGGGTAGTGCTGAAATGCAGCCAAGCACTATATCCTGGGACTTGTCCACAAGCTGGAAGTCTGGGCATATACACACTATTCCATCATGACAGCTCTGTTCTTTGGTCACAATAGACACACAGATAAGGTCCAACAAAATCTCTGGAGTAGAGGAAGCTTGACTCCTGTTCCTGTCACATCTAATTAATGGGGGGAGGGGGAGATGATGTTCTCAGATAGCAGCTTCCTGGTTGTCTGCATTGACCTGGATGGAGGGTGCTGCTCTACAACACCAAGATGATTTTGTCAGAGACACTGGCAAGTACAAGTGAGGATATTTTTAATAGACATGCAGAGACATAATAAAATCTTTAAGAAAATTTAAGAAATGTTCACTGTCTAAAGACTTTTTTCTTTTTAAGGCTACAACAATCCCTTGCTTATCAAAACATCATACTACATATTTTTCTAAGAGGACATTTCAGGTCACTGAGTAACAGAGCTGTCTACTGCCTTTGCCAACAAATAAAAAAAATTTATTTTTCCAAACAGGAAAAGGTTTGCTGTGCAGGGTTTGTTACATAAATTCCTGTTTTTCACACAGCCAGCAGAACATTAAAGAAGCCATGATTTCTGAAGGGGCATGATGTGGAGGCGATGCTTGTGAAGGTATGTGCCACCAGTACTGATATTTCTGCCTTGTCTGTTGGATGCAGCAGAAACTGAACAAGTGGTACGAGCACAGAACGCTGCATCTGAGCTGCCTGTGACCTTCCAACTACTGCATGACCAAAGAGGGGAAAGGAGTGAGGCTGATACACCTCAATCACTTACCCAAATCCTGTTTCTGCAGAATGCAGTGAGAGAAAAGGCCAACTCAGCCTATCTCCTCCACACTTGCTGCTATTTATGTGCAGCCAGAATATTCGGCTGTCGTTCAGCTGGCTTTCAAGGCCCACTCACAGCCCCTGCCATCCACCTGCAGACTGGCCACCCCAAGCAGCACAGCACACTCTCAGGAAGCCTGACCCACCAATCTCCCCAGTAGATGAGGAGCAGGGCGGATTGGCAACCTAGACATGGTGTACTTACTTGTTCAACCTGTGCCAGCATTTGTAACTCTTGGATGGTCTGTTCTATGTCCTCTAATGATCATATTCCAAGCTTCTTAAATGGCAAGGTGACTAAATTTGTTCTTATTTTCTAACATCAAAGTTCCTCACATGTTCTGCGCAGAAAATATTTTCAACAAATACATTGACTGACTTATCAGAAACAACCCAAGCAGGGGCAGGGGAGATGGCTCAGTGGAATAAGCGCTTCCCTGGCAAGCGCAAGGGCCTGAGTTCAATCCCCTGTTCCTCAAAAAAAAAAAAAAAAAAAAAACAAGAAACAACCCAAGGAAGGTGTGATGTCTAACTGCATACCCCTAATCTATCCATTCATGTACTAGTACAAGTCAGCTCATGTTTAGTGGAACCTACTTTGCACTAGAAACAAAGAACAACACACAAAGAATTAAGAAACAGAGCTTGTTCTCCAGAACTTTTATGATCTGGGATGAGAACAAGTCCACATCAGTAGTCAAATGCTGGACTGCCTGCCCAGAAGCACCCTCCCAAGCTGTTCCCCCACAGCTTTTGTCTCAGCCCGAGTTCCTTCCTCTGGAAGCATTTCTCAATAACCTGACTGCAACCTTGCAGCTTAGTAACAGGGTCACCTTGCTTATCCACCATAGTTTATTATGAGTGCTACATGTAGTCCCTGGGGCACGCCTGGCTTCCCCTGCACTGTGAGCTATTCATTCAAGCACAGAGACCTTTGTTGTATTCTGGTACTCTGAAACCTCACATCCACCAAGTAAGCACTCAAACATCTGCTAAAATGGATTCACAGCTCCAACACCGACATGGCTTTGAGAGGATGGACAGGGTCATACATATGAAGTGTTTAGCTTAATCAGTACTAGTAACATTACTATTATGGCTACTAATTTAACAGCAGCTAGAGAATATCATCTCAATTTTGTAGACTTGGTCTTATCTCTCTGTAATCACACCTTCCATTGTTCCCAAAGATGGTCTCAAAATAAAACTTTAAAAAGGCAAATCAATAAAAAGGGTGTGATTTTTTTCCCCTACAAGCATATAGAGATTTTATTTATTTATTTATTTATTTATTATTTATTTTGTGGAACTGGGGATTGAACTCAGGCCCTTGCGCTTGCCAGCGAAGCGCTTATTCCATTGAGCCATCTCCCTGGCCCTTACTAGTCTATTCTTGAATTAAAGAAATGAGGTGATTCTGGCCTCAGCTCACAGCTCCACGCCTGCACTAAGAGCTGAGTCCGGCTGCCTTCTGGGCACCACTCTTCCACACATTTCCTGGCACTCGGACCCTCCAAACACCGCTTTTGACCTGAATGCCAGCTCAGGTGCCTCCAGACGTTCCTGGACCTGTACAGGAAGCACCACAGATCGGGAGGGGCATCGTGCTACTGCCATGCCCCTCCTGCTGTCCCACTTGTCTGGCAGCTGTTAAGAGCAGCCGAGGCATTGTGCTCAACTGAAAATGCAACAGAACCAACAACTTAAACTAAGTGCACCTGCTTGTGAACTTTCACCTCTGCATCTTATGCACACACAGTACGATTCACTTTATAGATCCTGCAGTCAACACTTCTCATTCTGTCCCTGGCACAGTGCTAAAAAGTAGGTATTATTGGCCTCATTTTAGAAATAGGGAAACTGAGGCACATAAAATATTTTTCTAGTTAAGAGTTTAAAGTAAACTGTGTCTTTGTATTTATCATTGTTAAGAACACACTTCAGATTGGGTGTGGTGGTGCACACCTGTAATCCCAGCACTTGGCTGAAGCAAGAGGATCACTGTGAGTTCAAGCCCAGCCTGGGCTACAAAGTGAGCTCAAGGCCAGCCTGAACTATACAGCAAGACCCTCTTTCAAAAAAACAAAAAACATTTAATACTAAAGTTCTATGTA